ATGCTATGAGAAAGACACATGACACATGGGCCACAGGACAGTCCTCTTTGTAATTTCTTTGTGAACCTCCCCAGGGTTAACATAATGAATTATATATACCCTCAGGAACATAGTTACTGAGTCTTTCGACTCTTGTAGACATCAGGGATCTTTTGGCCTGAGACTATCTATGCTAACCTGTGACTTAAAGTAGCTTTGATAAAGGATGGTTAATATCCTAAGCATCATTTTATATATATATCAACTATTTTTATACCTTCGTTCAATAAATATCTATTTTGCCCACTTTGATTAAAGTTGTTTTTCCTCTATTGGATTCTATAAATTCTTAATAAACTATATATATGGTTTACTTACACTTTTCTCAATCCAGAACCTGAATGATGTTTCTTACTTATTTATTTATATTTATTTATTTGGAGTATTTCCTTTCCAGTGAGAAATTTAGTTTGATTTAGTATGTTTATTTCTGTTTTTGTGGCCTGACTTTCTGGTGTGACATCCATTAAACTCACTGTGAAGGCCAATTTCCTAGGGTTTCCCATAGGCTCTCTTCCATGATGTATAATTGGTTTTTGGGTAGGATATGAGTTTGACTCATTCTTTGCATATGAAAATCTCCATTTTTTTTCCTGTACCATTTATGAAAGAACCCATTATTCCTTTACTATGTCCTCTTGCTTCCCCCGACAAAAAATAAGTTGAGCATATACTGTCTTCCCTGTTTCTGGGGATTTGGAAAATGATTGCAATCAAGATGGTGTGATACTGCATGAAGAAACCCAAGAACAGAAAAGAGAGACACTGACCACAGAGTCAAACACAGACTATTAAAATTAGAAACTTTTGTAATAAATGGAAAAATCTTTGTGGCATTGTGCACAAAGTTATCTTAGAAATACGACCAAAAGCATGATTCATAAAAAATATAAATTAAATTTCATCAAAATTAAACACATCTGTTCTTCAAAAAACACTTAAGAAAATAATAGGGCTGGATAAGTCATGAAAGAAAAAGGATAAATATTCACGTAAAGAATATCCTTTCTTGGTGAAAGAACCAAGAAGCAAATGACCCGACTTAAAAGGATAGTCAATGATTATAAAGATACTAGACCAAAGAAGTTCTAGAAACGTTCTACCTAACACATAAAAGATGCTCTGTGTTTTTAATGCAGCCAAGAAAGGTACTTAAAATCACAAAAAAGCCAGATGTGGGAGTGTCACCTTTAACCTCAGTATTTAAGACAGAGGCAAGCTGATCCTGGTCTACATAGTTGAGACCTTGTACAAACAAACAAAACACATAACAAAGTACCTCCCTATAAATATTAGTAAGGTTTAAGAAAAGAAAACAGGCATTGGGGGAGGGTATAGGAGAAATAGAACTCTCATTACATGTTGAATAAAATATAAAATAGTATGGCCACTCTGAAAAGCAATTTGTAATTTCCCAAAATTTAAACATAAACATCATATGATCCATTCAATTCCCTTGTATGTCCCAAGAAAAAGAAAGTACATTATAATACAAAAACATGTGCAGGAACGTTACATCAAATTAATTTGTAATTAGCCTTAAAATCAAGCAACCTAAAAGCCTTTCAAAAACAAAATAGATAAATTATGGTATACTCACAAAATGAAACTCTATTCATCCATAAAAAGGAATAGACTACAATATCTTTAAGACGTGGATTATGACGAAGCAGAAAAGGAAAGGACAAGAACTAGGGGTAATACAAGGGACAAAGACAAAGTGTCACACATTTATTTCACACATATAGAATTTACATTTGGCTATATAAATGCACACACAGACAGACACACATGCACACAGGGATGCAAGAGAAACACTATTTGAGGAGGATGCAGGGATCAGTAATGGTGGGGAAGGGCGGGGAGGGGCATGAGAATGAGGACAGTAAGCAAGGTATGGTGCATACGGATGGCAAAGCCCAACAAAACCCATAACTCTGTATGCTAAATAAAAAATAACATAGGAAAGTTGACTAATGCCATCTAATTATACTAAGCACAAGCCCTTAGACAGAAGAATAAATATGTGCTGTTCAATGCCATGTATACACGGGTCTAAGGAATGCTAACTAACAGGATGGGGGGGGCGGGGGACGAGCGGATCAGTGGGTGACAGGGATGGTGCAAAAAGGTCAGAGGGAAAAAAAAAATAAATAAATAAAAAAAAAAAAAAAAAAAAAAAAAAAAAAAAAAAAAAAAAAAAAAAGGTCAGAGGAGAACTCCAGAGAGACATGAGAGAATGAGGGTGACAGACAGATGTGCTCATGGCCTTGTTGTTGTAAAGGTTTCAAAAGATTATATAAATGTCAACACATACACACTTTAAACATGCTCTTCATTATGTATCAAATATATCCCATTAAACCAGTTTTTAAAAACGAAGGTAAAAGAAAAACATGGTCATTAGAAGGGAGCATGTTACCAAAAATGAAGTGAGCTTCACTCTTTAAAGAAAAAGGCTGATACATTTTATGGCCATGGATAAAATATTATTTCAAATTAAATTTAAAAGTTTAGAAAACATGCTTTTGCTATCATGATCCTGGGAGTGTCCCCATTACTTTTCTATTAGATTATTTGTAACATTGATGAGTGTGCTCTTTTGACACTGTATAAGGAACCAGGTCACTGTGGCACGATCTGTATTCTATAATGACATGATGTTTTCCAAATGACTCAGTCATCATGCTACAGAACATGCATGAGCAAAGAACACATTTTAATTACATATCAACTAATGGTCTGAATGTACTCTTGTATGAAAAGCTTTTTAATAGGGTTTTAGAGTCCACGATGCAATTAGTCTTTATGAAAGTCTACTTTGGTGGGTGGGACTGAAGGATAGTGGCCCACACTTACCCTACCCTAGCCCCTGGATACTATGTCCATCGTTAGTGGTTTCTCATAAACACATCCAGGCACATGGCTGAGTGCACATCTATATAGGGACGTCTATATAATCTAAGTGGAACTCATCTCACACAGTTCTCCAGCTGGTAAGAAACATGTCAATTTGAGAAATGTAATACCTTTGAAGTATCTGGCATGCCAGCTATGTGCTACGAAGATGCACAGAGCGTGTCAGAAGGAGCTGAGGATGGCTGGCAAACCACACAGAACTAAGAGCTTCCAGCAGTGGAGACAAGGGAACTCTGCCAATATCTGAGCAGTCCTGAGTAGACTAGCCACAGACATATCTAGGTAAGAACTGCACCTGACACTTAAACACTGGTTTGAGAAAATCCAGTGAAGATTCAACTTCTGATGGACACTACAGTGAGGTAAGATGTTAGCTCCTTCAAGCTCCTAGCTACTCAAGTTTGTTAGGCTTCCCACTGATCATGTCAGGGTGGGCATCGAACTGAATGGATCACTCTGCCGAATTTTTATCACATCTCCAAGTAAGTGCACACCCACATCGAGTGGAACTTGCTTGAGGACTGTTTGCAAAATGGAGAAAGGAAAGAAAAAGAAAACAAGGAAAGAAAGTAAGTTAAAATTCACATCAGATGAGCCACATAAATTTTACAAAGGGGAATGCTTTACAGTCATGGCAAGGGACAGGCAGAAGTGGCTGATTACCAGGCAGTAACATCACAAGTTACATCACCATCAAAAGTTACATTAACTGAGCACGTTCTGTGACATGGGAAGACCGTTAGACTGTTGACTAGAAGGCGCTCCCCTCACTATGTGTGCAGATAGCAGAGTTCAGTTCCCCGCACTGCTCAACACTTGCCTGCCTACTGTACACAACTGCCTTCGGCTTTTCTCAGCTTACACTTGCATCTAAATCTTTCATCCAAGTGATCCAATGAATCACTTTTCCTCAAGTCTGGCTCCTGCCAAAGCTAAACATTTTGGCAGAATTTACTACTAACCCAGACCTACTGTCTGCACCTACAAAAATATCCACATGTGTTTATTTTTAAATATCCTAGTTTATATAATTTGTATATCAAATATTTGAGTAAACTATATAAAGAATATAGTTATATGTAATTATACTGTTCCTAAATGGTTAGACTATGCTCTTTTCATGCACAAATCATGCCAAAATATAATACACCTAACAGAGACAATGCCATTTTGATGAAGTTATTGATAATCTATGTGTAACGCAGTTATGTTTAATACCTAGAGTACTTTGAGAACAAGCAAACTAGTGTGGTAAAACAGGACGCTAACCCTAAACATAGAAGCATTTTATAGGCCATATAGAGCAAGGATCCTACGACACTGTGTTTACTCCAAGAATTTTAATTACAGTCATACATACTTTTAATATTCCTTTACATGTCTTCTTTTAAAAGAAGTTATATGAAGCACACACTGATGGAGAAAGCAAACCCTCTTTGGTTATGAAGCACTGCAAACTATCAAGGTCAAAGTTTAGCTTATTTGTCTACAACAGGAAGAAAGAAAATCAGAAAACAAACATACTATCCCAGTTTGTGGCTGCCCATGCTTGTTGCTACAAGTTGTTAAAGACCCGGAGGCAAGAAGCTTCCCTGGTAGTTCACCCATGAGAGAAGCACCCAACTCATATGCAAGCACAGAGCACCAGGAGATTTTTAATCGGAGAAAAGTGTGTGGAGATGGACTCTGGAATGACATACAGGGATCACACAGCAGGCGGTGACACTTGGAGTAGTGACAGTCACACTAATGCTCAGTTTCCTAGGCAGCTGCTTACACGTGAACTCCATACACAACTGAACTCCATGTGTAACTACACTCTAGTAAATCTGTCTCAAATATGTTGGCTGACATTTTCTAGAAAATATAAACATGTTATGGCCTATAAAAATACTGAGTATATATGCAGGCTTTGTTATCAGGAAAATGTTATGCAAGAGTCCTTGGAAACTTTACAAGGAAATATCAAAGAGATTGAATGTAAAAAGGCAATAAAACATGACATTAAAATGTCATCAAGTATACCTCTCAAATGGCATTACCTGGGACCAGTTCCATAATGATGTAGACAGGCTGTCTTTGTGTGCACACGCCTATAAGTTTGACAATATTGGGGTGATCATATTGCTTGAGAATTCTAGATGAGAAAAAAGTAAAAGTTTATCAGTTGAAAACAAAGCTTTAATTTATGATAATGAACAACATATGCAATTAGAATATACATTAATTTCACGACTCAATATTTAAAATGTCAGTGTGTTTTCAAATTCTGGTAAGCAGGATGCGTATCAACAAGTATTGATAAATGTGGGTGGCATATCACAAGTGCAGATGAGCTGATCATCCTCAGATACTGATTTAAAATTGGCACCCACTGCGGATGTGTAATTATCAGGGGCAGTAGGAAGAACACGTGGAACTCACTTCAGAACACCTAGTGTCAGTCCGCCCCAAATCACTCCACACTGGTAAATGTTACAGACATTGGTTTACTACATGATCGGTTTCATATGGCAGACATACTGTTTTTCAAAAAGGGCTACAAAAAGGGTCAAATACAGTTTCAACATAGGCTGGGGATGAATTGGTGTGGAGTTAGTTTGGATAAACACAGTATTTCAGTAGAGGTTATAAAATAAGAAACAACTGTTAGCAAGATTTCAAGCACGGGTGTTAAAAATAGAACAAGTCTCTTAGACCTCCCCTTTACCCTAATATTATAAATTCACTCCCATGGGAAAATTGTTGCATTCTTTCCTATGAAAATGAAAAAATTAACTAGAACAAAAACTGTGTTTTGTGCATATACAAATAAAGAACTTAACTCAAAGACAAACATTTTAGATTAAAAATATATTGTGATTTCTAAATGAAAATAAAATAGGAAAAAATCAAGAAACAAAGAAAATGCTGTCAATGATTTAGCAAAATTTCTAATAGAAATTAAAATTCAAGTCTCAAGAATTTAAAATAAAATAAAATAAAATAAAATAAATAAATATATATAATATAAATAAAATAAATAAAATAAAATAAAAGAAAAGAATTTAAAATAAAATAAAGTCTCAAGACTTTAAAATAAAATGTCCTTTATAACGCTGGAAGACAGTAATAAAGTCACTGCATAAAACAGCTAGCTATATAATAATATAACTGGTATCTATAAAGAAATACTCAAAAGCCTGAATGGACAGAACTTACATTTCTTCATCAAACTTCATGATTTAAGCTAAAAGGAAATTAAATGATTTAGCTTACAATAACATAATCATAAGTTTAAAAGTGAGAATACTGCTCAAAGCAATGTTAAACATAGCCTTTGACCCTAAGAATCTGTGGAGTTGTCCAGCAGGACTGTGAACTCAGTTACAGAAGCACACCTCTCAGCAACCAATCTCCAGTACTGGACATGAGAGGACTAAAACTTTGTTCCTCAGTCAGCATTTAAATTCTTAATACTTAACTTAACGTGAGCCTATGGCCATGGATGCTTTAGATCACCACTGGATGTGCGCTAAAGGACTCATGCCACAAACTCAGACGCTCTCACTGCCACTTGTCCTTGTCCTCACAGCCCTGCCATAGTGTCACTCCCACCATTTCTGTCTAGCACATGCTGTGCAATTACATTTTCATTTTTAAAACATGTAATCAGCATACCTGATTTTATAGATAGCAGACAAGTTTTAATTATCTGCAGTACAGGGATCATGAAGACGGACACTCAATTTTAGTTGAGAATATAATGTAAAGAAGTCACCTCAGGAGAGAATGGGCATGCAGCACTTCTCAACAATGCCAGACACAAAACACAAAAAGAAATCTGAGATTCTCAGAAAGGAATCAAAGTTATAGTCAATAAGGGTATTGTAGATATAGCAAAAAGTATATACAAGGTATGTTATTTAATAATGTTTTATTACAAATGTAACTACAGCACTGCAATATGTTCGATGAAATAAACAATGCTGCAGAATTTTTAAGAAAGGAGAGAATAGTTCCATTGTTGATGCCCTATTGCTACCATGACTGCTTACCTGGTCTCCAGGCTAGCTCAAACAAGAAATTTCCCACAACGAAAAAATGCCTACCCAGGATTGCTGACTTCTGCTTCAGCAATTACAGTTTAGGAGATGTCTTGAAACTTACCTCAATGGATTTAATACATCAGAATGATAAATGTAATGAATTATAAACACACATTTTATATAATTTTAAAGAACTCACTTGGCTTCCTGTAAAAACTTTATTTTTAATTCCTGAGGAAGGTCTTCCTTGCACGTTTTAACGGCAACAGGAGTTTTATCCTTTAGTGTGCCCTTATACACCTCACCAAAATTCCCCTGAAAATGAAAATATAATCATTGTTTGGCATGTCTGACAGCACATAAATCTTTGCTAAAATTTTAGGAAAGCATAAAATGAAGCATTTTGAGTTAACCGAAGTACTGTGCTGTTTATTACACACTTAGGGTTGTAATAAATACGGGCGTCTCCTCCATGGTCCCTCTATGCTCATCTCTGCTAGGGAAAACTTTGGTTAGTCTATGCTTGGCTTCAACAAAAGGAGAACACTACATCAGCCCTGCCTTGCGTGCATAGGTCTCCTTCCACTGACTCTTTTTCTATGCCTTAAGAACTATATTTTATTAAAGATTACTGTGATTAAAGAAAAAGCAGAGATTCTGAGAGGGAAATGTTGGTATTGATCCTACCAACCATGTCTGCTGTAGAATTAGGCTGATGATGTCTGAGGGTCACCCAGGGTAGAAGGTGGCTTACTCTAAGCATCTGTTCTACCAGAGTAATATTCATCACAAATTATCACCCATACAGGCTAACTTTCTTCTATACCTAGCATCTACTTTGATATATATTCCGTTCAATGTATTTAGGAAGAGAAGAAATCCACACTACAGAACAGCTCAATATGAGTAACATCGTCTCAGAGAGCTCATTCTTCAGTATTCCCTCAGGTTCTTATTACTGGATTTGAACTGAAACTGTTCTTTTAATTGCCAACTTTGAGGCTTTGTCATTGAGCTGTTTCCACTATCCCTCATCACGGCTGTCACCTACTAGAAATATTTCCCTTGTTCACTCTCATTTTGAATTCAAGTGTCACTTTTACTCTACCAACTCTATTCAAACATGGCTAAAGACCTTCACACTGCTGACTGAATTAACTAAATTCATGAACAAAAAATGTTCAGGGCCTTCCTGTGGCTTGCCATTTTTTCTAGATCATTTACACTCCTAGACTTTTGGATAACTGGTTTACTCTCTACTCTCTTTGCAACATTCCCATCATTCCTTGCTGATGTTGTTGCTTCCTATTTCTCTGAAACAAAAACAAAACAAAATGGGCCCTAAAGTAATCTTCAAGGTATTACTGTGACTCTCCTGAGTTACCATGGAGATATTGTGTTTGTATCAATGTTTCTCTTCCACTATGAAGCATCTCATGTTCTCCTTACTTTGCTGTAGCAGTTCATAATACTCTCAAATCCTGAAGCCTTCAATTAGACTATTCCAGCTACAGACTAACAAGCCATTCTTTTTCTTAACACAGAATAAGTGATCTGATGCAGCCACCCCTGTCATTGCTTCCCTTTGCCACAGACCATCAGTGTTACAATCTTAAACCATCCTGATTAGGCTGTTACAAAACTGTTGAGTCTTATTAGCACTAGGGTCTTGCAAACCCAGTGCTGACTGCCTGCCAGCACCTGACCCCAGGCGGCACTCTCCCTCCCTGCTTTAGCTTCTCCTCTTAGCTTTTAGGGCTTAGCAACAGTTCCTGGTTTTCTCCCTTCCTAATTGGTTACTTTTTCAACTTTCTTTAAGGACAGCTTTTCCTTCTTGTACAGTGCTCAGTTCTGAACCCTCTTCTTTATCTAGGCCCACCGCCAAGAATTTATATTGTATAGTGTTTTGTTTAGCCTCAGCACTCGATACTCAACTGGCTTTCATCATCATGCAAAAATCTAATAGATAAATTTGATGTATCACACATCTTTACTTTTGTTCCCAGAAACCTGCTACACATAGAGCTGACTTCTGGCTTTTTCTCAATCCCTACAACATCCATTAATACATACAACTGGTTCAACTTCAAACAGTATCTAAATTTACCACCTCCTAGCTGCAACCCTGGATCAGTTTTCACTCACCCAATTGCACTTCTTTCCTAAGCTTTCAACCCACAATGCTAAGGGCCATTTTCCCAAAGTGTAACTATCCTGCTCTACTGACCCCCCCCCCACTCAACATTCCCTTCATACAACACTTAAGATATTATAATACCAGGTCAGGCCCCATATGATCAGCATCCTCATCATCTTGCTGACTCCATCCTCCTATAGCTCCCTTACTTGTTTGGGCACAACTGTCTCTTGCTAGCCAGATGAGCTCTGCATTGCTTTCTTTTGCATTGAGTCTTTGCTTCACCCTCACTGTCAGTGGCCCTCAAGGCTCACTGGTGTTTCCAGCAAGATTTTATTCTAAAGTAAACATCTGAATAAGATCAGTCTGCACTTCCTTTTAAGAACTGCAACAGTGACTGATGAGCAGATTAAGCCTTTACCCTTTCCTTGGAACTCAGTGCTCTCTAACATTACCTGTCTGTCCCTTGCTAGTCAGAGCAGCAGTGTAAGCACAGGGATTCTCTGCTGGTTCATGCACACACACACACAAGCACCCAGGAGAGTATGCAATGCATCACAGGTGCACAGTGAATGCTGGATGACTTCATGTCAGCTCCAGAGAAACTGAGGTTAAAGGCCCTGAATAAAGAAGTTAGTTTCTACCATTACTTAACAATTACTACTAAAAAAGTTTGGCTCTTTTTATCTACTCACACAATCTCAGTATACAATAAATATTCAAAAAGGGTAGTAAAATATTGTAACAAATTATGTTCTAGTATTTTAATATACTAAAATTATGCTAAATAATAATAAATAACAAGTATTAGTTAAATTTATTGAGACTTTCATGTCTAGTCATTAAAAAAGTAATCATTCTAGGAAATATTCTTAGTAAAAAACACAATTACACTGAATAGTCATACTTGAAGTAAACATAAAAAATGACTAGAAACACACAGACAGACAGACACACACACCAGTTATGGTCATGTATGCCTTTAATCCTTTCATTTGGGAGGCTGGGGCATAAAGAACTCTGTGAGTTTGAGGCCACCTCAGTTATACAGCAAGTTCCAGGCCAGCCAGGGCTATACATGAGACCTGTCTCAAATCAAACAAATAAAAAATTAGAACACTTTCTTTAATTAAAAATATTTTTGTTTAGTACTGTAAATATTGAAAAACTCTATTCAATGTTTAATTTTTGAAATTTATCATTTAATTGTATTTTCAAGAAAATTAGTTTGTCGTAACTTTTTACCAAACTGCTGCTATTGGGTTGCCCCAAGAAATACTGTTATGTTTATGACTATTTTCTTCAGAGTTAGGAGAGCACCTCAGAGTTAATGCCTCTTTTAGCTTAGGTTCTTTAGAATTAATTCACTAAAAAAATGTATTAGCAAATCAAACCTGGTCTGCAATAGTAACTAGATGCTTCCATTTGGAAAAGGCATTAAACAATAAAAGTCCTGAAACGAGAATACTTAAATGTAGACTTGAACAAGGATTCCCTTTTTAACTTTATTAAGATAAAACTGCATAATTTTTGAAAATTAGAAAAAAACGGTCAATTTCACTTTTGGAATAAAAATTGATCACCATTTAATTACTTAAAATGCTGGACCTCAGTTAAGTCTAGCATTGATCACTCATAAATTATATAAAAGGTCTACCATAATAATATCTGAGTTTTCCACTTTTCACAGTGTCTCATGAAGCTAAATTGAACTCAAATATTGTATAGAAGCATCCATAATTAAGTCACTGACAAAATAATATTTATTTATCATAAGTTGAATGAAGATGACTGGCAGATGTGGGAAGGGTCCATCTGATTGATATCAAATGTCTGTCTTTGTTGTTGGAAGTAACACATTCTAATGTGGACTATGACTTGGAGGAAACTTCCAAATGGACTGCAGGAAAAGTGACTGTCGCTCTGTAAGACTTGTCTTTACCCACCACTAGCAGACCCAGTTACAAAATAGGTACTTGAAAGAAACATTCCTTATTCACAATATTTAAATAAACTTGCGTTTCTCCTCCATCCCTGTCCCTCCCTTCTCTCATGTCTGAGGGAATGCACATGTTCCATGGTATACATGTACAGGTCAGAAGCTGGGACTCTTCTTCTACATGTAGCTTCCTGATATTGAACTCAGATGACCAGGCTGGATGCCAGGTACCTCTAGTCCTACACTATCCCCCAGCCTCTACCACATTATGTTCATTTTGTGATAATGCAGTGTTATATACTTTCCTGTTATTTCAAGAAGCAGCACTTCACTACTTTTCTGACTTGTCAAATATAACTGGAAGCATGGTGACCTCTGGATGTTCTTTCAACTTTCACAACCTGACAGCTTCTTTCCTTCATCCAATAGTTTCAGTTTTAATAACATCATTATGGCTTTGCCCTTCCAGGGAAAATATACACTATTTTTGAAAATAAGACTCATCATAAACCTTTCTAAGATCATCACACATCTATCTCAGTGACAGTAAGAACTTTCTAGGATATTTGATGACACTGTCTTCTTCTAGAACAATTAGTGTATATGCACCCTGAAGTGTGATAGAATATAAAAATGCCCTGAACAGTAATATGAAGTGCTCGTTGATTAATATAAAAATTTCTTATTTAGCTCAGCTGATCACATACCTTGCCCAGTAATTCTCCCAATGAAACATCTTCATGATTGAGAATCCATTTCTTATCCTATAGCAAAAAGAAAGAAAAAGACACACTGTTAATCCATGCAAGAATACAGTTACTATAAATTCCTTTGAGGAAATGAATGCATTCAACAACAAACTAATAAGCTGTAACTTCAACATAATACAGAATAGACTTGAGAGAGTTGCTATACTATCAGATATTAAAATCATTACTGTGCCAAAATTCTCTCAGAAACTTCAGCTTCAAAATGATGATATATCAACCCATAGGTAACACACAGGTGTGCTTTTCACCTACGACAAAGCAAGACAATGCTACAGTCTTTTTTAAAAAGTTGTGTGACAGTATATCACAAGGTTTCCCTTTATTTATCTTCACAAACATTCTTTTCCACTTTTCCATGAAGCACACTCCTAAGAGCTCATTTTTATGTACACACACACAAACACACACACACACACACACACTGTCCTCAGCTTCTGTGACACTGCCCATACTGTCATGTCTTTTCCAGCATTTCCTGCAGTCTGACAAAGCAACAAACAGCAAGTACAATCCCCCTAGGTTGTCCAGGACCAGCAATGTGAATATGCCTTTGTAAAATGGCATCTCCCTGTGTGAGTTCAGGAACCAACTACTACCACAAAAGGAGTACACAAGTGTGAAAAGACGTGTAGCTGCAAATCCACACAACTGTGATGCTGGGATGGTAAACAGACCCACTTTAAAAGAAGGAAGAAGAGAAAGCAAGCAAGGACTGGGCAGAAGTGGGAAGTCAGGATGAGGAAAACGGAAAGAGATGGGGAGGAAGCAGACCCACAATTTCATATATTATTTATTATGTAGGCTGTTTTTAAGGTCAGGAAAAATTGGGTAAAAACTTAAACATAAAAATTTACTAGAAATTGTGGGGTACAGCAAAGGCAATGTTTAAAGGGAAGTTTATAATACTTCCTAAGCATATTAGAAAACAAGAGAGCTTAAGTCAATGCCTAAGATATTTACTTTACAGACCTGAGGAAGAATAAATGCCTAGACTGGAGAATAAAGAAAGAAAAGAGAGGAATCCAGTAGATCCAGTGCAACTGGAAGCAATAGTAGCTTAACAGAAAGAAAGCAGTCATCGTCTTTAGATGGTCCAAAGCTATGGAAAGAGCTCACCTGATGGCTGGCTGGTTGGTCATGGCTCTGAATTATGGTAGAATCTGACCCACAGAAAATTTCTTTTAGAAACCAGGACTTTTCCTGACTGATTTCATGGCAAGATAACTGTAGTTAACAGTAATTTCAAAGTCAGTTAAAAATGTATTTAAACAATGTTACTACGTGGCTAAAAGCAAGAAATATCCTTGAGCCTCTTGACAGCCTCATCTTTGGCAGAGGTCAGAGATGCAGAAGTGTTTGGGGCTCAGACTCCTGGTCTGGATCTTCAGTGGTTTTAGACCTGTCCCTTCAGAGCAGGGGAACGTAAGAGTACCCATAAAGATCCATACACACTCAGGCCTGGGTGGATACCTACTGTTCCAGCTGACGGATCAGTCATCTGGTCAATAAATCACCTCTTAGAAGGAAAAAAGGAGTACGTTTCCCTTTGTTGAGATGCTACACTTTTTGTTCCCCAGAATCTCACTTGAGTGTAGTCCCTACAAGCTGACCATCCATGAAGGCACAGCTGGATCTGACTGACTTTGAGTCCTAACTAAGAAAGGGGTAACTTATCCTTTCTTCATCCATTCCTTTTAGATGATGGCCAAACCCTACACAAGCTCTTGCTGATGCTTTGGTCTTCCCTCTTTCCTCCTTCTTTAGACCTCCCCCTCTCTTCTGCTTAGCTGTTTACCTGTCCTGCACCTGACCTCCAGTCTGGCTTAAACAGCATGCCTGTATTTTCTTTCTCTTCATCTTCCTTCTCCATAAAATTCCTGTCCTGGTTTGTTTTTATTTTAAATTCCAATGAATTTACCCTCCAGATTTTGTTTTGTTTTGTAAGACAATAAACACACTGGTTAGCTTGACACAAGCATCCATGGTACTCCAACATCAAAGCCCCTCAGGCCTTACAATCCTTGCTCTCTACCTTCCCCTCAACTGAGACGTAAGAAGAAGGAGAGAGACGCAGGCTTTAGGAGGGGCAAAGGGTCTTGCTGGAGTTAAGTAACTGCCTAACTTTATCAGAATTTTGTAGTTATAGTTTTTGTCAAAATGTGAACTGAGAAGCAAACTCTGGTGTGTTCAACTGGGTGGTGAGAAGGTCATCTGAAAGGGGAAATACCTAACATCTCCTTGGTATATGGGATACCATATTCTTCCTGCTGTTGGTGAGTGAGCAGAAAGGTAAGGAACACAGTCAGAGAAGACATTCAGGTTTTTCTCATACTTCTGAGAGTGCATCCTGAATCTCAAGCATAAAATGATGAAGAGGAGGTTAGGGAGCACAGATGGAGATGGAGTGTTTCTGGAGGAGCCAGGATCCTCCACTCTTCCTTTACCACCGCCAGCCTCTTCTACCAATCTCTTTCTCTAAACATGCTCAGACTCTGGAGTGATGGCCAAGTTTACTCCTTAGCAGGTGCCCCTCAATAAAGAGATTTCACCTGCATTTCTGCTTTCTTCCTTTGCTGTTTTCTTTAAAGGGACAGGGGACTCCTGTAACTTTATTCAATCTAGAAGGAAAAGAGGGGCAGAGGAAGTCTGCTTCTGAGCCCTTGTCTCAGAGAAACAGACAACGTGGCTTTCTCTTGCTCCACATGTGTGTTAATAATGAATGAAATAAAGCCTGTGATAAAGCTGGGCTTGAGACATGACTCAGCAGCTAGGAGCACTGGTTCTTGCAGAGGACCCAGGTTTGGATCCTACCAGGCAGATAGGCAGCTCACAACCATCTATGAGGGGATCTGATGCTCTCTTCTGGACTGCAGATGTATATGTTGGAGAGCACTCATACATTAAATAAATAAAATTAAACAAAACAAAAATCATAGACCTATGTTCAAATTCTAATGATTAAGCTTGTCTGACGCTGAAGCCTCAAGACAACTGGCTAAAACATTAAATCTGTTTTTAATATTAGGATCTCATCCTCTTGGTGTGTTCATGAATATTAATGTGTCATTATTACAGCAAAAGAAATCAATATCCATTTTCTCAATTTATTAATCCTAACTCAACATCAAAAATATGTAATTTTGAAACATAAGATTATTTGGATTTAAATTAGAGACTTTTATTTTTTTAAATATATTTTTTGTTTATTCTTTGAGAATCTTTTTACAGAACCAGAGAAGGTTAGCTCTAAAATAAACCATGCACTGCACATACCATCCACAAATCATCAAAGGAACTTTAAGAACTGCTAGAAGATGTAAGATTAGCCTACAATAGAGATAAAGGCAATTTCTTTCAATTGTCTAAATCAAAACTTTCAGTAACTTCACCTGGATATGTTTCCACATACAATTGCTTGCTGACTCTCAGAGGAATGCTCCTATCATGTTGGGAAGTGCCTGGAAGGATACTATTTCTCCATTCTGTAGATGAGAAAACTGAGGCTTGAGAGGGTAATGCTTGTCCAGGGCCCAAGGGACTGTGGCGGAGGTAAGAAGCCTATCCTTTGTCTCTTCCCTAGTACTCCAAACATAAGCAGCACTATCACTGTGCTCCAGAAGTCAGTCAGATGATGCAGCACTTCAGGCTGGAACTCTCTGTCGAGGCTAAGAACACTGTCTCAGCTAGCCAGACTGGAGCACCAAACAACTCCCTGCATGTGTAGACTGAATAAACGCCACACTACTTTTCCTATTCTGGGTGCCCACCTGCAGCATATGATAAATGAGTGTCATTTACAGGAAATTAGTTCATGCCAACCTATAGAATCCCTCTAGGGCTGAATGACTTACAAGTCTAAAGGCTCACTCAGATCCATGACCATTACATCAAATGTAAAATGCAGTTTAAAATGGCCTTTCATTTTATTAAAGAACTGCAGCTCTGAGAATCAAATCATCCTGAGCCAAGAACAGAAGGTTTTACATCAATTTAGAAATCCTACCTAAAGCACACCTTGTATAATCTTCGGTAATCACCTCAACTGTCTCAGTAGCAGCAAGAGTGACTTTAGCTGCATTATATCCAGGCTTTCAGTTTGTTCTCAAACTATACTATGAGTAACTTTCAAGTCCCAAATACAACAGTCTCCAAGGGAAATATAGATTACTGTCATGGTTGTCACGGCAATATTCCTAAGTATAGACTTTGAGATATATTATTTATTTGATCTAAATTACTGAAAAATTTGTGATTTCTATAAATGTGTTAGGAAAAAAAACTTCAGCAACTAAACTATGCATTCAATGTACAGATAACATTATAACTCTCAGCAGATAATAGGATTTAAGAAAAAATTACTAAAATACAGAGTAACATTCTTACCTCATCAACTGTGCAAATTTAAGATGAATTGTTTCAATTCTTACAGGACTTATTACAATGAGTGTCTATCAATAAATTCTAGTACTGGAGACACACAAAATATGCATCTCCTGTGTGTACTACATAACAGTACATCACACATTTAAAGACAATATGCGTTTTCTGGTGATTATTTGTGGGAAAAATTTAAGAAGGCCGCCACAGCGGCGCAAGCCCCAGAGGGGCTTCCACCACCTTGGCGGGTCCCACATTAGGGAAGATGATCCTATGGTTCCAGTGGACTGAGGGCCTTGGCGGCGGCAGGCCCCAGTAACACGAGGAAGTCCTTGGTTCCAAAAAGGTTTATTGTCATGGCGGATAATAGATAGATCTAGGCGTACCCCCCAAAACTCAGGGCAGTCCCGAGTTATATAGGGAGGGAGACAGGGGGAG